AACACATGCAAAAGCTGCAGGGAGCTATTCTTTCTTACCTTGTTTCTTGAGAGCACCATTTAGGTTTAAACATAATCTATGTTTTTCATTACTCCCATACCAAGATAAACTCTGCTTTCTCTTTAGGTTCTTAGAGCATGAATTCCAAAGAGGGTTCTTAGAGTAAGGGGCATTTGCTGACTCAATGTCCAGGGTCAGTCGGAGACCTTGGTGGTGAACACAGGAGTGTGAGTGAGAAAACCGTGGCCTGGGACTGTGCCTTGCAGATCATGGGAACCTTGTCTGAATCTACTCCGGCTGCCATGGCAACATACTACAGACTGAATAGCTTCAGCAACAGAAATGTATTTTCTTACAGTTCTGGAGGCTGGAAGTTGGAGTTAGGGTGCCCGCAGGGCTGGGTTCAGTGAGGAACCTCTTCCTGGCTTGCAGATGACTGCCTTCTGTCTGTGTCCTGCATGGCAGTTCCTCCCTGTGTGCCTGCAAAAAGAGGGAGTGAGCAATCTCTGAGTCCTCTTATCTTATAAGGGCACTAATCGTATCAGATTAGGGCCCCACCACTATCACCTCATTTAACCTTACTAGTTTTCTTAGAGGCCCTTCTCCAAAATATAGCCACCCTGGGGGTTAGGGCTTAGTTGGTTGAAGCATCATCCTGTGCACCAAAAGGTTGCAGGTTTAATTCCTGGTCCGTGCACCACCTAGGTTGTGGGTTTGATCACCAGTCCAGGCACGTAGGGGAGGCCACCAATCAATGTTTGTCTCTCACGTCGATGTTTCTCTCTCTTTCTCTATATCTTCCTCCTTTATTCTCTAAAAATCAATTTTAAAAATATCCTTTGAATGCAAATTAAATATATATATATATAAAGTTTGTAGATGGATTTTGGTGATGGTTGCACAACAATGCTTAATGCTGCTGAACTGAACACCGAAAAACGGTTAAAATAGTAAATGTTATGTGTATTTTATAAACCTTTTGAAAACAGTAGTTCTGAGTGGTTCCTCACTGATCTTGCCTCCCACTGCTTCCCTACCTTGCTTCCCCCCAATCAGTGGCCTCCCTCCTCTGACTTGACCGTGTCCAATGCATTTCCCCCAAGATGTTCCTCCCCAACTGGCCCCATGCTCATTCCACACCTTTCTTCAAGCCTTTACTCAGTTGCTGCTTCTCTTTAAAATTGTAATTTTTATTCTCCTCCTCTCAGCATTTCCCTTCCTCATCTCCCTCTTTATTTTTCTCCATAGTACACACCCTCTTCTAAAATAGCAATTCTGCATTCACATTTCTTTTAATTGTATGTCTTGTCTAACAGAAAGTCAGTAGCACCAGGGCAGGCTCTTCATGTGTTTTGAATGCTACCGAGTCTTCCCTGCCTAGAGCAAGGCCTGGCAAGTCAGAGGTACTGAATGCATATCTTTTGAATGAGTAAAGGAATGTCACAGTTGCTTGTGGGTGTGTATCTGCCATTCTTTCTAACTTGTGAGTTCCTTGAAAGTAGAAACCATGTGTTGTTGTTTTTTCACCATTACATTTAGGAGCAACAAGGAAAAATGCATAGAAAAGTAGGTGTGCAATAAAAATGGATGGATAGATGGATGAATAATGGAGGGATGGATGATGGATGGATGAGTGGATGGATGGACAGAGGAAGGGATAGATGGATGAATGGGTGGATGATGGATAGATGAGTGGATGGTGGATAGATGGATGGATGGGTGGGTGATGGATGATCACAGGATAATGGATGGATGGATGATGGATGGATAGATGGATGGACGGATGGATAGATGGTGCATAGATGGATGGATGGAAAGATAAAAAATAGACAATGTTGGTTTTGTGCTAAAGGGAGGATGATGTGACTCTTCTAAATCTGGAATGGGAGGGAGACATCATGTCTGATTGAGGGCAGTCTGCTGATGTGAACAAAGGTGTCTGGGGAGCATATTATTATATGAACCATCAGCTTCCCTTTGTTGTGGCCTCTGATCCATAGCTTTTGCCTTTACCCACATCTGCATGTGCTAAAGCTTAGTTATGACGTCCATATGTCTCTAATGCAAACACCAAGGCATATACTTATGAAAAGCGCTATAAAGAGCAATGGCTCGAGAAGCACTGCCAGGAGGGTGAGCTCTTTATTATTTTAAAGGGCATTTCAACGACGCTGCTGAGTGTTCCCTGGCCATAGGTCTGACTCCTGTTCTCTCTCTCTCTCTCTCCTCTCAGGATATCAAAGCAGACTGCAATACCTGTGCGGAAATAGAGGACAGAAAGGTAAGTCGATATTTTTCATTGTCTTGGTTTCAAACAAAACAAGAATGCGGCGACTTAACGAGTGTGTAAGGCCTGCCTTGCGGGACGGTGGCATGCAGAAATGATATGTGTGCGGCGTTAGACCCGTCAAGACAGTCATGCTTCAAAGGGCTCATCGTTCTCTTCCTTGCTCTGCATTATTTCTGATGACATTGATGAAGAGTGCGTAATGCAATTTATTTTAAAAATTGGTGCTGATTTTAGTGGAATATGGTTGATGATTATAATGTCCCATAGTGCATGTTATTAAATAATATTAAGTAGAATATGTAGGATATATAATACAGTATTGGGGTTTTCTGGGTGTGCCCTTATATTTGAAATACATGCTTCGGGTGGAGAGAGTCTGCCTCCATTTCCATCTTGACACAATAAAGGAGTGGCAGCATCTATTTCCATGAGATGTTTGGGCAGCAAGAGGAGGACATTTCCTGCACAATTGGTGCCTCCCCCATTGATCTTCTGCATTTGGTGTGTATCTCCTCAGGCAAAGGCCCTGTTAGACCTGGCTCCTCATTTTTAATATTCTCACGCTCTCTTTTTATTGACAAGAGTTTGCAGAAGTTTCTGTGAAGAGTGCACCCAAACAGATAAAATTTTACCTTTAAGCCTTGAATCCAAAGAGGTCAAATAAGGGAATTGAGGTTATATATCTCCTGGCTACATACCAGACATCATTCCACAATTTGGAAAGATGTTTCTGTCTGCCACTGTACCATTGTTGTCCAATGCCGTCACTATTTCCAGCAGAGGTTTTCAGCCCTGATTTTGTGATAGCTCCGTCGGCTGCTGATGGGTAAGGTGGTGGGAAATGTCCCAGCACAAAATTTTGCTTTTCAATAAAAGGTGATTGCCATACATTAGTTAAGGAGGGTAACACTGTGGCAGCTTAAATTCCCTCTGCGTGATTTTCTCTGAGTTGGGGTTGGGTGTCGCTCTGGTCGGCAGGCAAAGGTGTTTCCATTCAGGTTTGCATTCATCACACGTTTCCTTGCTGGTTGCTCGCATGCATGTGCTCTGTGAGTGGGACAAACTGCCACTGGGGCTGACCACGTGTCCACGGGATTTTCATCTCTTCTCACTAGTCCTTCCCTTGGTGACCTGCCCCAGATGCTCGCTTACGGCAAGCTGAACACGGGTTCTGCCCTGCTTCCAAGTACAGGATGTTTCTGCTTCCCTTGGGCTTTTATGGAATTCACAAACATGTGTGTGCCCAATACTTTTTTTTTTAACTTCCATTGCCAATAGTTTTTGAAAAATGCCAGGAGAACTGATGCTGTTAAAACAACATCAGTCCCATCACCAACAAGATAAATGAGCAACTCAGACAAGCTCCAGGCAGTGACAGCTGGCCACAGAGCTCCATCGTGCCTCCCGGCTGCCTTTGGTCCCTGTGTCAGGATGGGAGCGACGCCTCAGCCCATGGCTGCCCTGTGGTGCTTACTTGCGGGAATGGTATTGACAATTCTGTACAGGCTTCAGCTGTTTTCCAAAAAAGGGTAACATACGTACAAGCACACATGTGCGTTTTTCTGCTTTGTCATGGACTGGTGGGTTAAAAGGAAGTCTCATTTCTAAATCATTCTCCTGCCCCTACCTGTTTTGGCTGAGGGATAGAGTGTCAGCCTGCAGATTGAAGAGTCCTGGGTTCAATTCTGGTCAATGGCACACGCCCGGGTTGTAGGTTCCTAGTGGAGGGAGTGATGGAGGCAGCCAATCAATGATTCTCTCTTATTGATGTTTCTATGGCTCTCTCCCTCTCCCTTCCTCTCTGAAATCAATAAAAAATATGTATAAAAAATTATTCTATTGTTTCCTGAACTTGATCTCATAGGACGAATGACACAGGAATTATCCTAACCTTTGGCTGCAGTTGGTGGTGATGACTCTTAGAGATACAACTACCTTAATACTTGGTCTGTTTTTACTGTCTTACTCCCTGAGGACTTCGTCTTCCTTCTGTTCCACAGAACTTTGCTTTCCGCCTAGTTTCTTTTCTGATTTATTTATTTCTGTGACGTGTACATGTGGCTATTGCTTCTCTGGGTCTCCACATGTGGGTGGGAGTGGGCCTGAGGTGTTGGAGGTAGTCTGTCTATGAAGGTCCTGTCTCTTAATGAAAGTGTCAGGATGCAAAATCTAATCACCTAAGAGGGCAATGCCCCCCCACACACCCCGCAGCAGAGGGATGCCAGCCCCCCCATAGTGCATGATGCAATGGCAGTGATGGCAGCCCTGGCAGCTGCAGTGACGTCACCCCGTACTCCGCCGCCCTGACGTATAATTATGAAATTTTCAGGAGTGGTGACGCTCGCTCCTGCATGTGTGTGTCCCTCTCCATGTAATCCGGATGCTTCTGGCAAAATCAGTGATTTGATAAAGTGGAATTGAAGTGACAAGCGATGACAGAGGTGCCAAAATAATAAGTCAGCCTGCGGCTGCAGAGGCCGCCCGTGGCCAGCGGGTTTTACCAAGCGAGCGCCGAGAGCGCTGGAGGAGAGCGTGTTTCTCCAAAGCCTCCTTCGCTGAGACGCTGATCACGGGTCTCCAGGGCTCCTGGGCTTCCCAAGAAAAACTTCCTGTTACCTTTTAAACTTTATTTTCTAGTTTCTTTCACTTTCCCTTCCTTCTGGTCTCCCCCTGGATGTACGTGTGTGCTCACAGTTATTCTTCGTCTGGGTAACTGTTGAGTTCCTTCTTGATAAAAGGACTTTGGGGAACACAAGGTCTCAAGTTTTCTCTGGAGTCTAACACGTTCTCTCCGGCGGCCCCTCCAGTGTCACAGCTGATCCCATTGGGTGGGCTGCTTACCTGGAGATGAACCACTTTCCCCTTGAACCCTAACCAGATGTAACGATAGGGGACAAACAGTGAACTTCAGGAGTCGAGGAAAGCTCTCGTTGCGGAATAAGAAAATCGCTCTTCCTGGTCGGTGCAGGCTGGGCTCGATCTGAGACAGTGGACGGGATGAGAGATGTTTCTTTTCCCTCCTGTTTCTCTGTTTCTCTTTCTCCTGATCCTCTTTTCCGTTGAACGCTAATGATCGTTTGGAGAACTTTGCCTGGTTGTTTGTGAAGAAATGCACAGCACACATTGGAATGTGATTTTGTTTTGTTTCTCTTTTGCTCCTGAGAACACTGATTAGCAGACCCCTGAGAATGGACCTGCGTTTGGATGGCTTCCCGGCCATTTTTGGAAACGCCCTGGAGGTGTCCCAGGGAGACCTGAGAGGCTGGCCGCGTGTGCACCCTGACGTGGCAAGCAGAGGCACAGGTGGCTCCCTCCCACAGGGGAGTGCCACGGAGCTCATGTGGGCTTCGCAAAGGCCACCCCATCACTCAGTGCGGCTCTACGGCCCTGCACAACCGCACGCACCTGACATTTACAGTACCTGTGTTGCTGGTGGGGAACTGAAGCATTTAAATTCGTTTTTATTTGTGGTGTAAAATGCGCCTGAATTCAATGCTATTATGAAGACTGCGATTCGGGTGATGAGAGGAGAGGCTGATGGATCAGTCAGAGGGAGAATCTGTCAGGAGGAGATGAGCCCCCATTTGTCAAAGGCGGTAAACACAGACAGGCTTCCGCTCCTCGCTTACTGACTGGCCTGGTGTGGCTAAGCTATTCCAGAGCTGCAGTGAAATTGCACATATGGGTTCTGAATGGTTTGCCAAGTGATGGTGACTCTCAGATTGGGTCTGACTGAACAGGATGCTGACCGGGAGGTAGACCCTGTGGGTAACACAGAAAGTTCTGCACTTTTCCTCTTGCAATGCTCCCTCTAGCTCAGCGATGGCATGCACCTGCAGATACTTAGAACAGCTGTGCGTGGAGGCACCACACCACCTCACTACACAGGGGAGGTTAAGTGACTTGCCTGAGATCACTCAGGTTGTGTCATAGGTCAGGATGTGGATTCTGAGATGTTTCCTTTCAGAGGCTATGCTCTTAGCTCTAATGCTTTACACATACATGCACATAGATGCACATACATGTACACATATGCACACATGACAATGATTCAATTTGTAGGATTTTATGAGAATTGCCTTTCTGATGCAAGAATTTGCACCTAGGCTGGTCTTGCCACCCATTGCCAAGTAAAGAATCTGTTTTTCAATTAGGAACAACCTTCCAGCCCTGATGTTCTGGCTCTGGCTGGCTTGCTGTAGATTCACCACAGCATCACCATCCCCGGAACCTCTGCTGAGCCCCTGGCACCTGCCTGGGGGGTGGCTGCTGGCTCTGGTCTTGAGGAGGGGAGATAGTGGCTTCAGGGCACAGTTCTGGCTTCAGTTTCCCAAAGGCCTGGTTCGGTTCCTAGCCTGTGCGTTTCCAGCAGGGTGTCCTACAAGAGTTGGAAATTCCAGGCTCAAAGCAAAGGAGTCACCAGATGCAGTAGTTAAACCCACAGGCGGGAGCCGGATGTCCTGGGCTTTTGTCCTGCTTCTCCTCCTCGGCAGCTCTGTGGCCTGGGCAGCTTTCTTCCCTCGCCTCAGTCTCCACTTGCCTGTCTGTGACTTGGAGATACTAAAATCCACTTGGAAAGTTTATTTGAGGAATCGAGAAATAACACTGCAAAAACAGTTCATGTAATGCCTGCCACAATAGCTACTTTTGTTTTTGTTTCTGCTAATGGCCACAATGGCAGGCATTCCATGTCATTTATAAGTAAATTCCTTTAAAAAGCAAGTGTCCTGGGGGTTCCGAGAAATAGACATGTGATGAGACCTAGGAGACCTCTGGAATAGTTTAGAGAGAGAGAGAGATGCTTGGTCAAAGTCAGGAATCAACACCCACCTGTCTGCCAGGCTCAGGCAGACACCACACATTAGTCCAAGGAGAGGGAGGCAGCTGCAGGGTGATGTGACAAAGCGGGGATAGCTGAGGACTCCAGAGAAATGGCCCCACCTGCAGGGCGGCTGTACAGCTGCCTGTTGCCATGTGGAATGTAGGTGCAGTGTGGCCAT